TAGAAGACGATGATTATATGAGAGAATCCGGAGAACAAGACGGAAGTTGTGGTCCAGATGAAAATTTTGTCAGAGCCATAACATAAGCGGAAGCGGGACACAAGACAAGACATGAGATTGAAGAAAGTGATATTACATAGTTAATCTTAGTGACTTATAAGGAAGATGACTTTTTAGCTGAAATAAATGAGTTTGAAGAATATTTTAAGAGGAAGACTGATATGGTTAAAAAGGGAAACAGTAAGCATGGACGAGAAGAGGAACTGGTTGGGTCACTGGATCCGGATAGTGGACGTGAGGGAAGGGCATCGAACTCCGAAGACAATATGTTGAGTGGGGGAGAAGATTCAGAAGACTACGGTTTTGATAATATGAGAAAGTTGATAGATAAAGAATACCCGCCTAAATGGGATCCTTAGAAGGATTCGAGGGTCGTAATATTAGCAAGTGAAGATAGTAGCGATTGGGGGATAAACTCTGCTAAATGTGATAGAATGCGGTGGGCAAGGAGAGGGGGCGGTGTAAGAGAAAATGAGGTAAAGGTGGGCGAGGGTATTCGTGGACAAGGCCAGTCTCTGGGACAGAATCGTTAGACACTGATAATTAAATTGTACTTGGGATTGTAGTTGTGGAAGTGGGAGTAGAGGATGGGGTGGACGAAGTCAGACAGCGATAGGTGAATATACATATATAGTTCGCAGAAGAAAAATAAACAGAAATAAACCGAAGTTGTAAAGCACTCCAAACGTTGTGCCTCTACTAGTATCCACACACATACAAATTGGATCAAACGGGATTTTGGTACCATATAGAGATAAAATATCAAGAACTTAGACAAACTCTTTGTCTCTTGTATTTTAAGGTTCGACGAGAGAATATGTGTATATTGATCATTGAGCGTAAATCATTCCTTATTATATATGCAAGACAAGTAACCTAATCATTTAGGTTAAATGATTACTAATGGACCAATCCCAATTACCAAACTCATTCTCGATGATGTTTAATAATTACTTCTTTAGTTCCTCTTCAACTTCTTTACATTAACTCTCACTCTTTTAAGCTCCAAACATCCTCTTCAAACTCTATTTTTTATAGTACAAGCTCCAACATCTATAAAAAACAAATGCAATGTATATGCGTCCTAAACAAACTCTAAAAGGATGTAAAACAAGGAAAATTAAAAGAAAACATCTAGATGTTAATGAATCACTTTTCTCACCGATGGATCTATCACCACTTTTTTTACCGCTGGATCCATCATCACTTTTCTCACCGCTGAATCCATCATCGCTTTTCTTACCGCTTGATCCATTATCACTTTTCTTACCACTGGATCCATCATCACTTTTCTCACCGCTTGATCCATCATCACTTTTCGTACCGCTGGATCCATCATCACTTTTCTCACTGCTAGATCCATCTTCACTTTTCTTACCGATGGATCCATCATCACTTTTCTTACTACTGGATTCATCACTTTAGAGCTCCAACAATGGTAATTGTGTTGAATAGCACACTATAAATCTTCTGTTAATATGAAAAAATTGAATGAATTTTACATTACATTTTATAATTTTTTTATATTTCTTAAGTTTTAGGGTTTTTTTTTTTTAATTTAAGAAAGAATAATTTTGACAAGTACGAAATTCAATGCAATTAATACCGAATAAATATTTATAAATAAGATGAATTTTGTATATTCAAAATTCATATATCTTAATTGGTTTTAGAATATTTCTCTTTATAATAACATACTTTTATAAAACAATCAATTCATTCATAATAATAAGTTAATAACTATTGATCTTGTTTTTTACTACCCATTTAATTTTGTAAAATTATAAATATTAATATTTTGAAAGAAATATTAAAATTAGGAAGAATTAAAAAAATAATGGCTTCAACTTATAACCATAATTTAAGAGAACAATGACAAAGAATGTGATATTCCTCTTTGTTTCACATTTTTTTACCATTCAAAAGTAATTTTTTTTCCACATCAATCTTCACCAAATGAGGAACAGTAGAACAAAAATGTTCCTCTCCAAAATTGATGAGGAACAAAATAGAACAAAAAAAGCAATAAATATTAAAAAAAAAATTCAAAATAAATAAATAGAAAATAATGTTTATTAGCGATATTTTTCTTTTAATATATAACATATCTTCACAAATTAAAATTTTGATAATAATTTCATGCTAAATTAATTTTAAGATTTTATTTGAAAATTAAATAAATAGTAAAATAAATTTAGAAAATATTTTTATTATAAATAAAAATACATTTTAAATTATTCATACAATTTTATTGTAGGTTAATATTAACCATTCGCAAAAGAGAATAATACAAATGACAACACAACCAAATCGTCTATAGTTTAGGTGATAGAAAGAAATCTAGATCTAAATCATCCCTCCAACATGGCTTCTTGTTGTTCATCAAAAATTTCTCGTTCCTCATGATCATCTAAAACAAAAACATGAGAAGAAAGAAGAAGAAGAATCATAATCTATGAATTATAAGAACAAGAAAAAAAAAAAAAAAAAAAAGGGAGAGCTTATATAGATGCAAACCTAAGCCCACCTTTCACATTTTGGATGCGAGAAGCACCTCGATCTTTTTCTCAATATGTTCATGCTTTTGCTTTGCAATCTTTGTAATCTCTTCAAAACGATGCATACAAAGGGCATCTTTTGCACTCATCCGTTTCTTAAATTCACAAACAACCATACTGTTGTTGCTCATCTCCACCCTCAAGTCGGCTAAACCTTTCCCCATTTCCGAGTTGTTGTGTAACCCACAACCGAAGGAAATTCACGTAGCCAATCCAAAAACCATGTGAGAAATGAGGTATATGTTTCTAAAAAATCCATGCAAGCCTTCTTCAGGAAGGTGTATTCCACAAAATTTTGGGTGTCTTTTCTTTTAGCCATTCTGAGTAATTGAAGCTTCTTTGCTTGAGACTTGTTCATAGAGATCATAAACTTATCTTTATATTTGACACTTTTCTCACATGACCTCTTGACCAAGATTTAGACAAGTCATGTTGCATAAGAGTTTGGCCACCTAGTGACTAGGTAGACATCAGAAGCCATAAGAAAGTTTCATGATTGAAAATCAAGTGTTCGTCTAAAGATCATTGATATCATCAACTTTTTTGGATATGTGTTGCATCTCATATGATTAATACAATGTGTATAAACTGTGAGTGGACAGAAAATCATTATCTTCTATATTTTTGGTATTTTTATAGATATTTCAAGTCATATCCTTTATTAATTAGTGAAATCAAAATTTAAAGATTATTTAAATTTTTTAGTTGAATTAAGTTGATATATATATATATATATATATATTCAATTTTTTAAAAAAAATTAGTGTAGATTTCAACTTTCAAAAGATATTCGAGGTATTCTATCAAATTATCTCTCTACATTACTGAGACCAAAACTATATTTGAAATGAAGAAAACAAAATTTGTACAAGAAACGATATGAAGAAAAAAGTACATGGAATTGTTTTTTCAATTATCAGATATGTACCTTCCACAATTTTCTCTTCATTTCTCCACAATTGTAAAGGAACAATGAAGAACAAATTTAAAAATTCGTTTTTACTATTAAATAATTTTAAGATCGATTTTATACTAATATTTACATTTCTATATATAAATATTTTTGTATTTATTATATATATTTGATGGTAAATATATGACTTTTATTGACATTTTAAATGGTGGTAAAATTAACTTTGTTACACGGTCTATTTACGACAAGAAAATGGCGATATTGATGGTTAACATGTGACTTTCATTGACATTTTAGATGGTGGTAAAATTAATTTTGTTACATGGTCTATTTTCGACAAGTAAATGGTGATATTGATGGTAAATATATGACTTTTATTGACATTTTAGATGGTGGTAAAATTAACTTTGTTACATTGTCTATTTACGATAAGAAAATGGCGATATTGATGGTAAATAACCACTAACGCTAATTTAGTTACGACAACAAAAAACAAACTTATAATTTATAATACTTCTTAAAAAAAGAATCTATGTATGAAACGAGTCAATCAAAATTTAAATAACCACTAACGCTAATTTAGTTTTTTTAAAAGAGTTAAAATCAACTAAATAATCCAAATAAATTGTTTAAACTTATACCAGATAAAATATAAAATCAAAATAATTTAAATTAGGTAGTAGAGCTAACATTTGCTTTTTAGATTTATAGTAATACACAATTAAAAAACTAAGTTTAGAGTTTTCAACTTTATCAAAAAAGTTTTACTAAAAATCTTACAATTAAACGAAAATATTAACAAAAAAAAGATCAAAATATTTTTTAAAGAGCTTTTCGGGCTAGCCCGAGCCCGGCCAGGCTAAGCCCAAAAAAACCCTTTAGTCCGAAAGACCCAATTTTTTCTGGACACATATTTTGAAGCCTGAACCCGCTGTTTTTAGGGCTGAGCCGGGCTAGCTCGCGGGCTTTGACCCTAATTGACATGTCTAGGTAAACATATGACTTTTATTGATATTTTAGATGGTGGTAAAATTAATTTTAACATGGTCTATTGATGGTAAACATATGAATTTCGAGATTTGGATCAATGAAAATGAAAATAATAGTAAGCCATGGTTAGATGATGTTGAGACAAGAGAAACTAAACCAACCAAACTAAGCCATGGTTAAATCTTGCTAACCAAATAAAAATAATAAAAAAGGTATTAACTTTGTCAAAATTGCTAACCATATAGGAGGAATTAAGGTTTAACCGAAACCAAACCTAAACCAAAACCGATCCTTAAATTACTTTGGTTCGGTTCGGTTCGGTTAGGGTTTATGAGAGAAGAAGCTAAAAGGACCATTCTTTTTACTTGGGAAGATAAAGAGAGAAAGAAGCTAACACCAGAGTGCGCGGGAATGGCGAGACTTTGTCTTCCTTGTGTTTCTTCCCTTCGTAACTCTTCTCTTTCGATTCTCTTCCGTTCACCGATTCTCTCCAGAACCGCCGCAATTTCATTTTGTTCGTTGTCGGAATTCGCCGACTCTGTGACCAAGGATGATTCAAAACGCGTAAATTCACTCATCTCTTTGTTTCTGGACCAAATTCGATTACGATTTTAGGGCTTTTTCCGATTTCAAACTATAATCTCTCAGGGTCCTCTGAAGCCTGGGCTTTACCTCGTCGGAACTCCAATCGGAAATCTCGAAGATATTACCTCGTGTTCTGATTTCTAATTCTTGAATCAATTATTCTGATTTGTTAGTGCGATTCGAGTATTGAAATCTGCGGATGTGATACTCTCGGAGGACACGAGACACTCTGGGAAGTTGCTACAGTTTTACAATATTAAAGCTCAGCTTGTAAGTTACTTCTATATGGAAGTAGTAGTTTCTTTGGTGGTGATTTTGTTAGACTTTGTTATTATCATGTGATGGTTTTGAATTTATGAGGTTTAGGTTTGTAGCTTAGTTATCACAAGTTCAACGAGGCCCAGAGAGAGCAAGCGGTGTTGACACGGTTGAAACAAGGAGAGATTGTTGCACTTATCAGCGATGCGGGCACACCCGGAATTAGTGATCCTGGTACTCAACTTGTGAGTGTCAAAACTCTTGCATTGCTTCATCTTCTTTGCATTTAGTTTCTCCATTGAGCTAGTTTGTCTATAATTAACTTACTGTACTAAACACTAGTGTTTCACATAGTCTGAAAATGTTCTGTAGTCGCTAAAGCAGAGAGCACCTTTCAAATTTTTCGATAAATGAAGAATATGAGACATACTTGATATCATCTTTCCTCAGGCTAAAATATGTGCGAAAGAAAATATAGATGTGATTCCAATACCTGGGGCTTGTGCTGTAGTTGCTGCTCTTTCTGCCTCTGGTTTAGATACAGATGAGTTCACATTCGGTAACTTCTTCTCCGATATACATTTTTTGTCCTATAAGCGATATCGGTCAAGCTGGTGCGTAACCTGGCAGTATATAAAGTTTTTAATTTCTGAAGAACTTGATTTTTTTGACAGTTGGATTTCTTCCTAAGCATTCTGGAACAAGGAAGGCGAGGCTGATTGTTTCATCAAATGAGACAAGAACACAGATCTTTTATGTTCCCCCTCATAAGTTGTCACAGTTTCTTGAAGAAACAACCCCTTACTTTGGTGAATCAAGGTTTGTTGCATGTTTCAAGCAAGTTATCTTAACATCTGCTGAATTGATATTTATGCACATCCACTTCATTTCCTCTCTTGTTCCTTATTGTTGATACTTGATGAATTAAGCCTCTCTCAACGCAATTATCGATTGCCAAGAAAACTATGCTTTATCTTTTTATATTCTAGCGTTAGGACTTAGGAGCAGTCTCATGCCTGGTCCTGATTTATATTTTTGGTGCAGGCAATGTGTAATAGCTCGAGAGATTACAAAGCTGCATGAAGAGGTAACATCCTTTATCACTTTAGATGTGACGTGTTAACATGGGTAAACGGTTTATGATAAACCCACTGATGAGAGATGCTCTTTTAATATAGTTTTGGAGAGGTTCGATAGGGGAAGCCAAGGAAGAGTTTCTGATCCGCCAACCAAAAGGAGAAATCACGCTTTTGATAGAAGGAAAGGAAGAAACCAAAGCTGAAAATCCAACGGAGTCTCAACTTGAAGAAGAGTTAAAGGGGCTGATCTCTGATGGACATAGCCTTTCCACGGTAACCATTTGAATATAAGAACTTCCTCTTCTTCGAAAACTAAGCTTTAAAAGATACATTACACATATTGGATTGTATTATAGACGTGTTCAGTTCCTGGACATGGATGTATTACTTTATGATTCTGGTTCTAACATCAAACTTTATCAGGCGGTGAAAACGGTGGCGGAGAGAACGTCAATGAGAAAGAAAGAGGTATATTCGCTGGCATTGAAGAAATTCGGGAAGCAGATTCAGGTAGAAGATGAAGCTGATGAGTAAAATGAGAGGATATTGCATCAAACTCATCAATGTCATGTTGTAAAACTGTTGCGTTAAACCTCAAAGCCCTTGAGCTTTGGATATTGATTTGGTGAATTTAGAGTAGTTATTTCCTCCAGATTGTTTTCACTTGTGTTTTCACTTGTTTTGGTTTGGTGCTGATGAATATTTTAACTACCAAAATGGATACCGTTTGTTATATGTTAGAATAAATTAATGAGAAACCGTATCTCACATATTATCTAATTTATTGAGAGTTTTGCTTAGTAATTGTAAATTATTCAAATCATTATATGATCTTGACTATATGAATCACCGAAATACTTTTAGAAGTAATAATAGATTTTAGTTAGAAAGTAAATTGACTACATTGATTACACAGTAGTTTGATTTAAAAGAAAATAGGCGACAAAACAAAAGAGAAAATGATTTTTCAGAAAAATAAAGGGATGAGATAAAAGGAAAAAAGTTATAAGTAATTAGATGAGAAATGGGCAAATATAACCAACAAAAAAACTTTATTTAAAAAGCTAACCAAAAAAAAAAATCCCTTGTAATATGATGTGTGTAATATGTTTTAAAGACACAATTATCCCCACTGATCTCCGTCTCTTCCTTCTTCGTTTCTCCGCCTCTCTGTTCTTTCTGAGTTTCTTCCTCTCTCCCGGCCTCCTCCATTTTCTCTCCATCTCACAAGAATCTGATCCTTTGTTTGGGGTTCTTGAAGAATGTCAAGTTGGGATTGATCCAAATTCTGGTAGACCCGAATAGCAAAGGAAGTCTTAGAAGGGATGAGTTAGTAATTGATGTTTTCAATTTGTTTACAAAGGAAATCCATCTTCATGAATTCCATGTAAATTCTTAAGAAACTAAGCCAATTGATTTTTCGATTTCAATTTTGTGTCTCAATTGGCTTTTGTCAACGAAAATTCGTGATTAAAATGAAAGTCAATATAATATTGAACATTTTAATTACCAGGTTCATGCTTTAAATCAACGAAAATAGACAACTGATGATTTAAATGATATTTTTCCCTTTTCAATTTATGTGACTAAAGTATATTGTCATAAATGAACATACTAAATTCGTTGGATTATGTTATGATTGATTTTTTTTGTTTATTTGGAATTATTTGTTTTTGTTGAATATACAGATCAATAAGATTATCCGGAGTGGCATGGTCTTTCAAAAGATATTTTATTTAGTTTATTTTTATAGTCTTATTAGTTTTATCTCTCTTCCACTTATTACCATTCATGTTCATAAGCAACACTCTAAGAGACCAGAACAATGAAACTCACATAGAAAAACAGAGAAAATCAAAGCTAAAAAAGACATGGCACATTAATTTTCAAGATTGCCACGAGAGTGTCTTCTATTTCCTTGTTGGGATGAAGCTGTTCTTCGTAGAAATATATCTTCTTGTTTAAATCAAAATCTCGAGGGTTGCTTGAACTTATTGGACGAGTCGGTTGAACATTTTCTGGTTTGATGTTTTTTGTTCAGACTTTTCTTTTTGATCCATTTTTGTGTTTAGAAGAAATTTATATTATTTTTATAACTAGAACTATCAATTTGTCTTGGTTTTATACTGAGTTTTGAGAAGAATAAATGTAATGACTACGTAGAGTAATAAATTAAAGTTACTAAATCTTGGAAGCCAATTTGTTGACTTTATCGTAAGTTGTGAGAAAATCTGGGAAGCCAACGAGAGCATTTGATTTCTTTTTTTCTTTTTTTTTTTGTCTAGGAATGTCAAAACGTCTTATATTTCGAAACAAAAATAAAACCTCAAAACGACTTACATTTTAAAACGAAGGGAATACTAGATATTAAATATGAAGCTGCCACGTGTCAAACCATCTTTGAACATTCCTTATTTTAACGGTTGGAAAGATAAAGATCTTTGTATGTGTATGTGTATGTGTATGTGTATGTGTAGGTATTGTTGGACAAAATATATGTACAACATATGTATATCAGTTCAATCAAATACATAACAGTATCAAATCAAAAATCAAGAGAATATAATCTATATTAGATTTTTTAGCCGTTGGCATTTTCGAAAAAGCATTAAATTTTCATTAATTAATTACAATCAAAACAAAATATTAAATCTCTTTAAATAACCCTAATCTCTTAAATCTACTCCCTCGTTCTTTTATAAGTGATGTTTTAAGCTTCTAATTTTGTTTTTAAATAGATGATGTTTTCAATTTTCAATGCAAAATTAATCACTCTTTATTGGTTTTGACTATTTATATTCTGTAAATTGTTTTTATATTGGTGTATTAGATAATAAATGATGTTTTAGTTTAGAAATAAACAAAAATTAAATGATTTCTTAATATATGTGCATTTTCCTAAAACATCACTTATAAAAGAGTAGAGATGGAGTATTATTTTCTGTCTCTCTCTCTCGAAACTCTCATATTTCTCTTTCTTCTTCTTCTGAAATCAAAACATTATTTTTCTCTCAAAAAGGCTACTCTTTTCTCGCCGGAATGTGGACGGTGGAAGAAGAAATAGTTCTTCTAGAAAATGCCTGGGCCTATCCAACAATGATGGCCACGGTAAGTGAATGTATGGGGAGAAGACACTCAGCCTCTGAGTGTTTGAAACACTTTGAAGATCTCACTGGAATTCGTACTCCGTTAGTTCCGCCGCCGCCACAACCAGAGAGGAAGAACACCAGCAAAGAAACTAGCATCTGCATCTTTTACTTTGGAGGAAGAGGAATTTGACTGAAAAAAGATGGGTGCGATCACTCACACAGGGACATGTCAAGTAGTGTTTCAATTGTTGTAATTTTGTACAATTGTTGTAATTTTGTTCAATTGTTGTAAAATTTGTTCAATTGTTGTTATTTTGGTCAATTGTTGTTGTTTTGTTCAATTGTTTTAAGTAGCCTTTCCACGGTAACTATTTTGATATGAGAACTTACTAAGCTGAAAACATGTTTGATTCCTGTTTAATTCATGAAGATGGATATGTGTAACTTAATGATTCTGGATCTAACATCAAACTTTATCAGACGGTGAAAACGGTGGCAGAAAGAACATTAATGAGAAATAAAGAGGTATATTTGATGGCATTGAAGAAATTCGCGAAGTAGATTCAGGCAGAAGATGAGGCTGATGAGTAAACTAAGTGGATATTGCCATGTTAAAGATTTTTCTTCAAACTCATCAATGTCATGTTGTAAAACTGTTGCGTTATGATGGAAAAAAAAACAATTTGTTGCGTTAAATCTCTAATATGGTCCCAAACCTCAAAGCTCTTGAGCTATGGAACTTGATTTGGTAAATTTAGAGTATAGTAAGAGTTACTTCCTCCATATAGATTTGGTATAAAAAAAAAATTGCGTTAAATCTCTAATATGGTCCCAAACCTAAATTTAGAACACGAGCGAGAACATGTGATAGAAAGATCAATTAATCAAGTAAACTTAATAAGATAATTTAAAGTGTCATTTTTGAAAAAACAAACATATATTTCAAATCCTTTAATGTTTTAGTGTTACAAAATTACAAACAATATTTGAGGTGTAAACATTAATACACTACATTGACAATTTCATGGAGTCATTCACACAAAAAAAAAAAATAGTGAAGAATTTTAACATTGTGAGTCTATTAGTCTAGATCTATACAAACTAAATTAATCTTGCTAACCAAATATAAACAAAAAAAGTATTAAAAAGAAATTTTCTAACCATTTAGGTTTTAAGGTTTAACCAAAATCAAACCAAAGATCTTTAATTGCTTTATTTTTGGTTCGGTTAGGGTTTAACGGACAAAAGCTAAAACACCATTTTAACTTCGAAAGATAAAAGAGAGAAAATTGTAAGGTGTTATTCTAACTTTCGTAGAACTAAGAGTAAAATGTAGAAAAACTACTCTAAAAACCAAAGAACATAGAATAAACCGTATTCAAAATTTTCATAGAAGTAGAGTAAAATGTAGAATAAGTATTCTAACTTTTGTAGATCATATAAATTTTCAGTTCTACTGTGAACGTGTTTTTCATTTTTTTTTTCTTTCTTAAAACTGCCTTAAATTTTCTTTATCTAATTTTAAAAATTGTTTAGTTCTAAGTATAATGTCGTATCGTCTGGATCAGTCATGCACCGACGTAAACGGAACGGAGATTTAGTGGCGTTTGCGTGTATCATAATTTTCAATAAGAGTGACAAACGGCGCTTAAACGGCATCTCAGTATCTCACTTCTCGTTATTAACAAAACTAATCAAAAGCATCTTTTTACTCATATTTATTGATTTATCTTTATAATCATGATTCCATAATCATTTTTAAATCCAGTCGTCATAAAATATCCGATGCCCACATATCAATTTATTTTTACGCATCCACTAACGACTCATTTTTCCTTTTTGGCCATCAACTAACAGAAATATGCATACTCGAATTCAAATCTAATGCTATTATAAGGTGCGATGATCACGGATAAACATAAACTACATAATCTATGTCACATCTAACTCGTGTTGACTTGAGAAAAATTTGGTTTGGCTAGGTATGATGATAGAAAAATAATTAGATAATTCATTTCTAGCAGTGAAGTTTTTTGAAAATCCATAATGATGAGAATCATATAGTTATAGTCTAGTAGTTTATCATATTGCTCATTGATTTATAAATAATGATATATAATACACTATTTGTTGAGATCATATATGGCTATGATAGAATTTATCTAAATGAAAACAGAGACTATTAAAGAAACAAAAAAAAAAAACTCGTTATAGCTAATCTATTGTTGTGACAACACTTTTTCCTAAAGAGAAACAAGAGGTGGCACACAAGTCACAAATCATCGGTCCAAATAATTGTTTATGTAAAGAAGGGTTACTAGAAGATGATGGGCACATGTTCAAATTCCTCGTGGAAGCTAAGTTTTAATCATTTTGGATGGACATTGAGTGAAACCAAAGTATACATGGACATGGATTGAAACCAAAGTATACTGTCGTCCACGACCCAATAAAACAAAAAAAATCTATAGAAGTAATTAATGCACATGAACAATACGATAATTTTCTTTGAATAATTTGGTTTTCAGAAATTATATTATGGATATGTTGTATCATGCAAAGGATAAAATAAAAGAATTGTAAATCTGGATCACGATCACATGCAATGGAGCCCAGCAAAACCATCACCGTGTTGCTTCTTCTTCTGCTTCTTCTTTTTGTCGTTTTCGCACATGTTCTATGGTCCGATTACTATTAAGCTATTATTATAAATCATGATTTCAACATCAAACCTAATTCATTATCTCATCGACTTTAAATTTCATTAGTCGGTGTGGGTGTTGCCAGTTTTATTTGGTCTATTTTGTTATCGGATTATGTGTCCGGTTTTCTTTTGTCAAACATAAACTTTTTTGTTGCAAAGTTTTATTTGGTTATGCTTTTGTTAACATGATTTTTTTCCTAGGATTCTTCTTTAAAAACCGTTCTCAACGTAAGTGTCTCTATAGGTATTGAGTTTGTTTGCCCTCAGTGGACCATTTTCCCTTTGATCTTCAAAGAATGACAAAACTCAACATTTTACATAATAGTAACTCTATAAATTAGCTAATATACTAATTAAATAGTACGTATAGCCAACTCATTTATAGTAACACATTTAACTAAGTAGGTATAGTATCTCGTGATTCTAAAACATTGATTTAAATTATGTAGCAAACAAATATAGTTGGTATAGTTGTTAGAGATATTTTTTTCCAAAAAAACGTTATTAGCATAGGGTCCCCTACTTAATTATATGCGTTGGTCATGAGAGATATTAAGAAAATATATGGTTCACATTCCTTTGGTAAGATTAGGGTATGTCAAAATAAGAAAAACACAAATTAATCCCATTCACTACCCGTAAATGTATAATCTGAGAAACTTGTTACTATTTTAGATTTAATGTAATTGTATCTAGCTACTTGTATATTGCCCAAATGCTAAAAAGGGATAAATAGTGATGTGACGTTGTTGCTTTTTTGCTTCGGTCCTTCTTCCATGTGGAGCCATTTCGCAGCTTTTAACTTTTGTCTCTTGTTTCTTTCATTAAAAATTATACAATTGTCAACAAAATTCTATATAATTTCCTTTACAAGTTACACATATTATCATATTTAAATACGAATTATGATACTAATAAAAAAAAATTCAAAATACAAATGTCAGCCAGCAAAAAATACGTTAAAGCAATCTATAGTAATTGTCTAAAAAAACTAAAACCAATCGATATAAGAAAAATGTGTTTTAGAAGAAATTATTGATTTGTGTTTTTTTTTAATTAAAACTGATTTGGAAAATCTTGAGAATTCACTATGTCAAAATCAAAACATATAGATTTTAACTATTATTTAGAAACCGGTTCAAATTTAACTTGCAAACCGGTTTAAATTTATATAAATTCAGTCTAAAATAAAATAAAGTATTAAACTATGAACTAGCTCAAGATTAAACATCTAAAATAATTTATATTTAAAAATTCAAAAAATCAAATATTAAGTAGCACATAATTTCAACTAGTATTAGCAAATCATTAAACAATTAGCACAATATTCTCACAAAATTTTCAAAAAAAAAAACCAAAATTAATAATCTAATGACACAAGATTAATAATCTAATAATCTAATGACACAAGATTATAACTGCATTTCCAATACACAAATAAACAACTCTTCATTCTCAACAACCATTCAATACCTAAATCAAAATTTTCTACAAAACCTATAGAAAGACAATCACTTTTCCATCACAATAATATCGAAAACAAACATTTTGTATGTATATGTAAAGTTTAATGCAAACATTAATTTTAAAATAATTTGGAAAGCTCCATTAACTTATTTTTAATCTCCCAACTAATTCACTACACCAATTTCCATACAAAATAAAGCTTATAGTACATATCAGAATCAGACCAACGACACTTATTTACACACTCTGTTTTTTTTTTCTTCTTCTCAAATCTTTCTTTCATTTTTTTTTTTGAAAGAATCAATTTCCCTCTCATATCAGAAATCTAAAAATGGGAACAACGATCTTGGTTCTCTCCAAGATCCTAACTTTCTTACTAACAACAATGCTGATTGGATCCAGCATGATCCAGTGTAGTAGTGTAACCTACGACAAGAAAGCTATCGTCATCAATGGCCACCGCAAAATCCTCCTCAGCGGTTCTATTCACTACCCAAGAAGCACTCCTGAGGTAATAAAAATCGAATCTTGATTACATAACCAAAATGGGTTTTGTTTCTTTTGTTTAAATTTGATGTCTTTTTTGTAGATGTGGGAAGATCTTATAAAGAAAGCTAAAGATGGTGGCTTGGATGTTATTGATACTTATGTTTTCTGGAATGGTCATGAACCTTCTCCTGGAACTGTACACAATTCTTCTCCTTCTTGTTAGATTCTCATTAAAGTTGCTAACTTTATGAGATATAGATTTGGATTTTTGGAGTTTTAGATTCTCTACTATGAGTGAAATTGGTGGGGTTATGTTTTTGTTGCAGTACAATTTCGAAGGCAGATATGATTTGGTAAGATTCATTAAGACAATTCAGGAAGTGGGTCTTTATGTTCATCTCAGAATTGGTCCTTATGTTTGTGCAGAATGGAATTTTGGGTAATGTGTTCAATAAATTTCTTTTAAAAAAGTCAAATTTTGAATTTTGAAAGTGTCTTGAAAGTTGTGTTTTTTTTTGGCAGAGGGTTTCCTGTGTGGTTGAAGTATGTAGATGGGATTAGTTTCAGAACTGACAATGGACCTTTCAAGGTAATAATAAATGATTGATGTTTGATTATGTTCAATGTTGGATTAGTATAATGTAACATTTGTGTGTTTGTTAAGGCTGCAATGCAAGGATTCACAGAGAAGATTGTTCAGATGATGAAGGAACATAGATTCTTTGCGTCACAAGGTGGACCCATTATTTTGTCTCAGGTATTATACAAATTCACTAAACTTTTCTTGTGAATTGATGTGAGAGATGGTTAAAAGGTTTGGTTTTTATAATGTGTTAGATTGAGAATGAGTTTGAACCAGAGCTTAAAGGGCTTGGACCGGCTGGTCACTCGTATGTCAATTGGGCTGCGAAAATGGCGGTCGGTTTAAACACTGGAGTACCGTGGGTGATGTGCAAGGAAGATGATGCACCTGACCCAATTGTGAGACCAATCTTTTTAATCTTTTGTGATTTAATAAGAGTACTATGTTGTAATTTCTTGTGGTTCTTGTTTTGTAGATAAACACTTGCAACGGATTTTACTGCGATTATTTTACTCCTAATAAACCATATAAGCCAACTATGTGGACAGAGGCATGGAGTGGCTGGTAAAAAACAATACTTTCTTTGCTTGTGAGACTGTGAGAGACAGAAAATGTTTACTGGTTGTGTTAAATTGTTTGTTGTTGTTGTCCACTATGATGGCGAAAAGGTTCACAGAGTTTGGTGGAACCATTCCAAAACGACCTGTTGAGGATCTAGCATTTGGAGTAGCCCGTTTCATTCAAAAGGGCGGATCGTATATAAACTACTACATGGTAATTAGTCCTTGTACAAACTTTTGAAAACTGTGTTGGTTTTGGTTTCATCATGATGCTTGATGTGTGGTTATGTGACAGTACCATGGAGGAACAAACTTTGGACGCACAGCAGGAGGTCCATTTATCACCACTAGTTATGACTATGATGCTCCCATCGACGAATACGGTACAATTCTTTTACAGTCAGTTGTGCTAAATGTTGTTTCTCTTTTACATTTTACTAAACTCGATTTTTCCATGATCAGGGTTGGTCCAAGAGCCCAAGTACAGTCATCTTAAGCAGCTTCATCAGGCAATTAAGCAATGTGAAGCTGCCTTAGTTTCTTCTGATCCACATGTTACTAAACTAGGAAACTACGAGGATGCTCATGTGTTCACTGCTGGCAAAGGAAGTTGTGTAGCTTTCCTAACGAACTATCACATGAATGCACCTGCAAAAGTAGTGTTCAATAACCGACACTTTACTCTACCTGCTTGGTCCATCAGCATTCTTCCAGATTGTAGAAATGTTGTTTTCAACACTGCGACGGTATGTAACAGAGTTTAGTTGCTGTTTCGGTGGGAAAGCCTTTAGTTGCATCATGAAGAAGCTAATTTGAAGTTGTTGAACAGGTTGCTGCAAAGACATCACAAGTGCAAATGGTGCCATCTGGTTCCATATTGTACTCGGTTGCTAGATACGATGAAGATATTGCTACTTATGGAGACCGTGGGACAATCACAGTCCGTGGATTGTTGGAGCAGGTTAATGTTACACGAGATACAACTGATTACCTGTGGTACACAACCAGGTACATTTTGAATCTCCAATAGTAACATTGTCTTTGCTTGTCAAACATGATTTGTTCTTGGAAAATGAATCGGTCTTTCCGGGGTTTTCAGTGTGGATATTAAGGCGTCAGAATCATTCTTGCGTGGAGGAAAATGGCCGACTCTTACGGTGGATTCTGCAGGGCATGCTGTTCATGTGTTTGTCAATGGACATTTTTACGGTATGAAATATTCTTTTACTAACTCACTCCTAAGAGAACAGCTGTTTCATCATTTTTTGTTTGAACGATACAGGATCTGCCTTTGGGACAAGAGAAAACAGAAAGTTTTCATTTAGCTCCCAAGTCCATCTACGAGGTGGAGCTAACAGAATCGCACTACTGAGCGTAGCAGTTGGGTTGCCGGTTAGTTCTAAGGATGAAAAAAACTGCACTTTTGTTAAATTTTCTGTTGCAGACTTATAAATATTGTTTCCTTTTTGTGTGTTGTGAAGAATGTTGGACCACATTTTGAGACGTGGGCCACAGGAATCGTCGGGTCTGTGGTGCTTCACGGCCTTGACGAGGGTAACAAAGACTTGAGTTGGCAGAAATGGACATATCAGGTGAGACCAAAAATTCTTACAAGATGAAACTCTCATGGATAGTTAGCAACTAATAACATGTCCGCCTTTTCGGGTACTTCAACAGGCTGGTCTGCGAGGGGAAGCAATGAAATTGGTCTCTCCTACTGAAGATTCCTCTGTTGATTGGATCAAAGGCTCATTGGCTAAGCAAAACAAACAACCTTTGACATGGTACAAGGTAAATAAGAAACTCTGATTTGTTGAAGGCCTCTTTAATCAAGTCCGAGCTAAAACATGTTCAAGTAAACCCAATGTGTGTTTGCTTATCACATCCACAGGCCTACTTTGACGCACCTAGAGGGAACGAGCCGCTGGCTTTGGATCTGAAGAGTATGGGGAAAGGTCAAGCTTGGATAAACGGGCAAAGCGTAGGGAGGTACTGGATGGCATTTGCCAAAGGAAACTGCGGAAGTTGTAACTACGCTGGAACATACAGGCAAAACAAATGCCAATCTGGTTGTGGCGAGCCGACACAAAGATGGTAACAATAATGCTTTGTTCTTAACCAAACCTTTTCAAGCTAAGCTCTCTTCTCGTCTTAAGATAAGTCTTTATGGTTTATTGTAGGTATCATGTTCCGCGTTCGTGGTTGAAGCCAAAAGGAAACTTGTTAGTACTATTTGAAGAACTTGGTGGAGATATATCCAAAGTCTCTGTTGTGAAGAGATCAGTAAACTAACTAAAACAACTCAATACATTGTGTGTGCATTACACAAAAAGCATTACTCGTGCTCTGTTTAAATTATCCTTCTTTGTGATCAGAAACCAGATTTGAAACTCGAGATAGTTATACATTTATACTACAAAATGTGCAGTAGAAATGCATCACTTTTTTTTCATACCAAACATAATAATAAGGCCAAAGATAACAACTTTGAAGTAGTGCGATTAGAAATGGAATCAAGCATAAGCGTCAAGACATGTAGGTGGTCCATTAAAACATGTAATGGTGGAGCCAAACATTAAAAGTCAACTTGGAGACGCGTCTTAATATCAGAAAGGTTCACAAAACTTGTAATAATAGTGGAACCTAGATGATAAGGTCAATGTTTTTGTGGCTCACACATTTTTCCATGGAAGTAGAACTCTTCTTACTCTGTCTTTAGTAATTCTTTCTTCACATAGCTCTCTAAAAAGCTCTATGATATTAAATTCTCTATCCATCATACTAATGGATTCTTGTTTTTTCTTTAGCAGTGTTGTTACTGCAATAGTCATGCTTTTTGGTACAATATTTCTAGTGGTTTATAGAAAGTTTAGATTCCATCAAGAGAACAATATAACAGTTTCTTCTTTATCTCCTTCATCTTCTCGATCTTCTTCGTCTCGCAATTGGAAACACCATGTCTTCCCGAGCTTTCACGGGACAGATGTTCGTAAAGCATTTCTTAGTCACATATTGAAAGAGCTCAAAAGCAAGGGAATAGACCCATTTATTGACAATGATATCGAGAGGAGTAAGGCGATCAGTCATGCGCTCATTGAAGCGATCAGAGGATCGAGGATCGCAATCGTCTTGCTCTCTAGGAACTATGCTTCTTCGACGTGGTGCTTGAATGAATTGGTGGAGATCATGAAGTGCATGGATGAGTTTGGTCAAATAGTGATGACTATTTTTTATGAAGTGGATCCATCAGACGTAAAGAAGCAAGCTGGAGATTTTGGGAAGGTCTTCAAGAAAACTTGTAAAGGTAAAACAAAGGAAGATATTGGAAAATGGAGCTGCGAAGCTTTGGCAAAAGTGGCCACAATAGCTGGTTACCATTCAAGCCAATGGTTCGTTCTTTTGATTTTAAACAATAACAAGCTAAATTTTTTTTTATATATATATATATATTTTGAATTTGTAATTCTTCTTGACTATTTAACGTTTCTGTATATCTCCCTCCTTTGTTGTTAATTAGGGATACTGAAGCAATCATGGTCGAAAAAATCGCTACTGATATCTCTAACAAGTTGAATAATTCCATGAAATCTCGTGATTTTATCGGTTTAGTTGGGATGGGAGCTCATATGGAGAAAATGAAACCGTTGTTAATTATGCCTAGAGTCAGATGAAGTGAGGATGATAGGGATTTGGGGACCTTCTGGGATTGGTAAGAGTACCATTGCTAGAATTCTATATAGCAAACATTCTCATCAATTCCAGCTTTGTGTCTTTATGGAAAATATCAAAGTTCGCTATCCAAGACCTTGTTACGATGAGTATAGCGCGAAACTGAACTTACAAAAAGAATTCTTGTATCTCAAACATTCCACCATAATGATATTGAGATTCCTCATTTAGGGGTTGTACAAGAAAGGTTCAACGACAAAAAAGTTCTTGTTATTCTTGATGATGTGGATAGGTTAGGACAGCTAGAAGCCTTGGCGAAAGAAACTCGTTGGTTTGGTCCCGGGAGTCGAGTTATCATCACAACGGAAGATCGGAAACTTTTACAGGGACATGGGATCAACCATATTTACAAAGTGGATTTTCCATCTACTGAGGAAGCTGTTCAAATATTTTGCATGAATGCTTTTTGTCAAAATTTCCCTAAATATGGTTTCGAGGGACTTGCTTGGGAAGTTGCAAAGCTTGCCGGTGAACTTCCCTTGGGACTAAAGGTTATGGGCTCGTATTTTCGGGGAATGTCCAAGGAGGAGTGGAAAAGTGCACTACAAAGGTTAAGGACAAGCCTTGACGGAGAAATTGAGAGCATTTTAGAATTCAGTTATGACGCCTTGAGTGATAAAGATAAAGAGTTGTTCCTTCATATAGCTTGCTTTTTCAACCATAAAGAAATGGAGAAAGTGGAAGAACATCTTGCAAAGAAATTCTTGGATGTGAAGCAAGGACTTCACGTATTAGCTGATAAATCTCTTATTTCTATCAACTCGACGTATATGGAAATGCATAACTTGTTAGCTCAACTAGGTAGAGAAATTGTTTGTAGACAATCTATTAATGAGCCTGGACAACGTCAGTTTTTGAATCATAGTAGAGAGATTTGTGAAGTATTGACTGATGATGTAACAGTACGTTTGGACATTAAGCCTTCCATTACATTATTGTCTATAGTTGTGTTTATCCGACAACTAACCCACTTTGCTCTTATTTTTTCAGGGTAGTAGAAATGTTATAGGCATAGAACTCAATTTTGGTGAGTCTAAGGACGAATTAAATATAAATGAGAGAGGCTTTGAAGGAATGTCTAATCTACAATTCTTAAGAATCTATAGTGATCATGTAAATCACGACAAAATGTCTTTACCGCAAGGTTTGAACTATCTATCTCGTAAATGTTTACCTGAGTTCCTAGTCAAACTAGTCATGTGTCATAGCAAGCTCGAGAAGTTGTGGGAGGGAATTAAAGTAAGTGATTCTTATTTATTTTCTTAAATATTTAAAAGATGCACTACAAGAAAACATAGGGTTTTCTTACAAAAATTCCTACCAAATATTTGGTAGGAAAAACTTCCTACCAAATTCCTACGCATTTGTTACGAAACGTAATTTTCGTAGGAAATTCGAAAGGAATTCCCTACGCTAAAAGACGTGAGAAGTTCGTAGGAAAGTCCCTACGAAATTCCTACGAAAAATAATATCGTAGGAAATTTCGTAGGAAAATGGAATGAAAGGAAAAGGAAAATTTTGGTAGGAAATTCGAGAGAATATTTCCGTCCCGTTTCTTACGAACAGAGCTTCGTAGGAAATTTCGTAGGAAACGCGAAGGAAACTAATGGGGAAATAATTGGTAGGAAATTCGAAGGATAAGCGTAGGGGTTTTTACTAACACGTTTGTAGTTTGGTTGGTGGTGTGTGTTGTAGGTAAATAACGTGTTGATTGCTAGGTTGGTGTAATAGTGTATATTCTGGTAGGAAATTCATAGGAAAACTATAGGAAAAAAAAAAATTCTTTATAAATAGACGCATTTCACATTCGTTAACATTACAACAATATCAGCTTCTCCTGAAAAAAAAAAAAAAACATTACAAAAAAAGAAAAACAATATCTTAAAAGAGAAAAAATTTTATTATAAAAAAAACACAAAAAACATTTCTGATAAAAAAATACAAAATTTTTTTTTTTTAAATAAGATCCAAAAAATTATATATATATTTTTGATTACTAGTTATGCATCGTTTTCGGGCATGGATGGACAAGGAAAGATTTGCATCCAACTCATTGCTGACGACGGAGTATGCAGCCGGCCTCACCGAATTCATGACCCTCGCAGGAAATCAGGAGTCATGCTTAACAACTGGTATGATGTTTTGTCCGTGTCCAGTATGTAATAATAATAATTTCATAGATAAGGGTTTAGTATGGTCTCACTTATATAGAGACGGAATATTGCCTAGTTACAAAGTCTGGTATTATCACGGGGAATGTGAAACATACGATGTGGGTAGTAGTAGTGGAAATGTTCCAGATATGGTAGAAGAATCTACATTCCCAGCAGAGGCGGTAGGCACGGTTCAAATGGTTCACGATGCATATAGGGAAAATATGCAGTCGTTTCCAGGCGAAGAAAATAGAGGAGAAGAACCAAATATAGAAGCAAAAAGATTTTATGAAATGTTGGATGCATCGAAGACACCGTTATATGAAGGTTGTCGCGAAGGACATTCTCCTTTATTCGCTGCAACACGGATGATGAATATAAATACGGATTACAATTTGTCTGAAGATTGTGTAGATGCTTGGGCCGATTTTGTCAAAGAGATATTGCCAGAAGACAACATCGCACCGGGTTCTTATAATGAAATTGAGAAGCTTGTTTCTGGTCTAGGTTTGCCATATCAGACGATCGATGTGTGTATCGATAACTGTATGATTTACTGGCAATCAGACGCACAGTACTTACATTGTCGATTTTGTGGAAAAGCTCGGTTTCAAGAGACTAGTGGAAGGGCTCGAGTGCCGTTTAAGCGTATGTGGTATTTGCCATTAGCTGATAGGTTGAAAAGGTTATACCAATCTGAGCGCACAGCAGGGGCAATGAGATGGCACAAAGAGCATTCTAACGAAGGCGAAATTGCGCATCCCTCTGATGCAGAGGCATGGAAACATTTTCAAACTATGTATCCAAGTTTTGCAGATGAAAGTAGGAATGTTTACCTCGGTCTGTGTACTGATGGTTTCAACCCATTTGGAAAGCATGGACGACAATATTCTTTGTGGCCGGTTATTCTCACACCTTATAATTTGCCTCCATCGTTGTGTATGAAACGAGAGTGGAAATGTGTGGAAATGTTTTTAGTGTGTGCAAACATATGTGTGGAAATGTTTTTAGTGTTTTATGAAAGGTTTGTGTACTACTAAGCGTATTAGTATGTTCATGGAAGTTTTCTTTCTTTTGTCTGTGCAGCCGCTGCGAAATCTTAAGTGGATGGATTTGAGTTCTTCTGTTAACTTGAAGGTGCTTCCTGATCTATCTACAGCCACTAATCTCAAAGAACTAGATTGTAGTTTTTGCTCAAGTCTAGTGAAGCTCCCTTCCTCTTTTGGGAATGCTATTAATCTCGAGATCTTAAATCTCTATGATTGCTCAAATCTGGTTGAGTTACCTTCTTCTATTGGAAATTTAATCAATATCAAGAAATTTAACTTTCATGGATGTTCAAGTCTGGTGGAGCTCCCCTCCTCTATTGGCAATGCCACAAAACTCGAGGAATTGGAACTTGATTATTGTTCAAGGATTGTAGAGCTTCCCTCCTCCATCGGAAATGCCACTAATCTCAAGGAATTGTATCTCTATAATTGCTCCAGCTTGGTGAAACTCCCTTTCTCTATTGAGACTTTCTCTCATCTCAAGAAATTTAAGATAAGTGGATGCTCAAATCTGGTCAAGCTTTCCTCTTCTATTGGGAATGCCACTGATCTCAAGGAACTGGATTTTAGTTTTTGTTCAAGTCTGGTGGAACTCCCTTCTTCTATTGGAAATGCTACTACTCTCGAGTTATTGGATCTTAGAGGATGCTCAAATCTGGTGCAACTACCTTCCTCTATTGGGAATGCCATAGTTACTCTAGATAGGTTGGATTTTAGTGGATGCTCAAGTTTGGTGGCAATCCCTTCCTCTATTGGAAAAGCTATTAATCTCAAGTATTTGGAATTTAGCGGATGCGCAAGTCTTGTGGAACTCCCCGCCTCAATTGGAAACCTTCATAAATTGTCCTCCTTGACTTTGAAAAGATGCTCAAAGTTGGAGGTTCTTTCCATCAACATCAACTTGCAATCTCTTGAGGCGCTTATTCTTACTGATTGCTCGTTGTTCAAAAGTTTTCCTGAGATTTCTACAAACATCAGCTATTTCGATCTCAGTGGAACTGCAATAGAAGTAGTGCCTTTATCAATTAGCTTGTGGTCGCGTCTTGAGACATTACATATGTCATACAGTGAAAACCTCAAGAATTTCCCGCATGCTCTTGACATAATCACAGACCTTCACTTGAGCGATACAAAAATACAAAAAGTTGCGCCATGGGTCAAGAGAATCTCTCGTCTTCGCCGACTTGTACTTAAGAGATGCAACAAGCTCTTGTCACTCCCACAGCTTCCGGATTCCTTATCAGAACTAGACGCATAAAATTGTGAATCTCTTGAAAGACTAGATTGCTCCTTTCTTGATCCATGTATTATTCTCAACTTCGCTAACTGCTTCAAACTGAATAAAGAAGCGAGAAATGTAATCATCCAGACATCGACTTGCGAAGTTTCGGTCTTACCTGGTAGAGAAATGCCAACCTACTTCACTTATCGAGCTAATGGAGATTCTTTGAGAGTGAAGTTAAATGAGAGGCCTTTCCCTTCATCCTTGATATTTAAAGCTTGCATCTTGTTGGTTAATAATAATGACGTTGAAACTGGTGATGAGGACATGGTGTTTCTAGATTGTTGCATTGTGGACAAACAGAGTAGCGTTGATGTTCCGTGCAGTCCAAGTAACCATATTCTACCTCCCCCTTTAACGGAGCATCTGTACATCTTTGAATTTGAAGTAGATGTGACTTCCAACGATCTTTTCTTTGAATTCAGCATCAGCAGTGTTGAATGGGTGATAAAAGAATGCGGGGTGCATATATAACGTTAATACCAAAAAGAGAATGCGGGTAACTCAGAAATCTAAGTTCCTTCACGTTTAACTGTTTAAGGACACGAAGAGAACATCAGATGTGGTGGTCAATGGAGGCAGTGAAGTTGAAGAAGAAGAAGAAGTAAATGGAGATGAAAGTGCAGAGACAAAGAAGGGACAAAAACGAAGGAAGTTTAATGATGAGATTTGATCCCATATTTAAAACAATGTTAAGTAGTCCAGCTCTCTGAAGTCTCTCCATGGCGATGGAATATCAGATTAGTTTATGTTGACTTTATGTTTTTTTTATATGATTATCATTTTGTTATGTTTGGTTATGTGTAATTGAATTCACATTATGTTGCTTACATATCATTTATCAGCAAGCAAACAATTTCATGCAGAGTATTAATCAACTGAAAAGTATGAAACTAAATAACATTTCCACCTTGGTCTGTGATGGGAAGCAATGAACTTGGTCTCTCCTACAGAAAATTCCTCTGTTGATTGGATTGAAGATGGTTCATTGGCTAAGCAAAACAGACAACCTTTTACATGGTACAAGGTAATTAAATCCTCACTAACCTAGTCCTACCAGCTCTAACTTGTTATATGCAGTCTGAAAGTTGTTCAAGTAAACTCACTGTGTGTCTTTGCTATTCACATCCACATCCACTTTTACGCATCTAGAGGGAACGAGCCGGTGGCTTCCGAACTTCAGAGTAAGGGGAGATGTTGCCATGTTGGAATATGCCGGTCAGCTTCTTCTTCTTATGTTTTCTTTGTTTCAATTCTTGTTCAAGGATAAAAACTGAGAAACGTTTTATAAACTTCAAGAAACTTAAAGAGATATCGACGTTAAGTAGATGGAGAAAGATGAGATGTTGAAACTGATTTTTTCAATACATTACATAACATCTTCACACACATTTATAGTAGAAATAAGAGATCTAATCTCTGATGTGCAAATTAAAGTGTAGGGAAACTGCGGGAATTGTTGCGAGCCGACACAAAGATGGTGACAATTTTGTGTGCATTACACAAAAGTATTACTCGTGCTGTGATTAAATTTATCCCCTCTTTGTAATCAGAAACCGGTAATCGAAACTGACATAGTTATAATACAAATGTGCAGTAGCAAACTAGCAATGCATCACTTTTTATTTCATACCAAAGATAAAAAAAAAACATTATTAGGATACTAAGATTTAGAAACTGAAATCAATCAAGCAGAAGCTACAAGACCACCATGCTTCATCAGCTTCTCATGGATCTCATCTTTCGCAGCACCGACAACACGATCAACGATGTTGCCTTCTTTCATGTAAACAAAAGTAGGCATTGCCTCAACTTTGAATTCCTTAGCAACATCTTGCAATTCATCAACATCGATCTTGAAGAAGACAACATTAGTGAACTTTTTAGCCATGTCTGCAAACACTGGTGCAATGAAACGGCAAGGTGGACACCATGAAGCTGTGAAGTCTATCACAATCTGTTTCAATCAAAAATTTCAGAACAAATCAGAACACAAACATCATTCACCACCAAGCTAAATAATCAAGACATACCTTAATCCCTAAGTAAAGTAATCAAATCAAATTGAAAAAACACTAGACAAGCCAAGAGAAAGTACTAGTTTCTATCACAAATCAGAACTCAAACAGCATTAACCACTAAGCAAACTAATCAAGAACCCTAAACCCTAAGTAAAGCAATCAAAACAAATAAAAGAAAGCCCTAAACAGGACAAGAGAAAGCACCAGTTCCTATCAATTTCAGACCAAATCAAGATATGAGACAAGAACAGGATCAAAACCAAGCTTTTTTTAAACATCATTCACCATTAAGCTAACTAATCAAGAAACCCTAAACCATAAGTAACGTAATCAAATCAACTTGAAAAAAAAACCTAGACAGAGGACAAGAGAAAAAATACAAGTTTCGATCAAATTCAGACGAAACAAAGATTTAAGACAAGAACAGGATCAAAAGCAAGCTTTATTGAATATCATCCATGATCCACCATTAAGCTAACTAATAAAGAAAACCCTAAACCCTAAATAACGTAATCAAATCAAATTGAAAAACCCCTAGACAAGAGAAGAGAAAAGTACCAGTTTCTTGGATTCGTTGGCTTCTTTAACCTTCTCGTTCCAAACTTCGAGGGTATGGCAAGCGATCACTTCTCCTTCTCCGGCCATTGTTTTTTTTTCTTTTAAGATTTTTGCTTGATAAGATTTTTTTGGTGAATGAATGAAGAATTGTTATGGTTGGGATCAGCTTTTATAGGAAAAAAAACAGGGCGAGACTTGACCGTCTTTACCTCTTCTCGGTCTTTTTTTTTTTTATCTAAAAGGAATAATAGTTTTTTTTTCCTAAAAATGAGTGCGATCTTGACGCGTAGGAATGTGAATGGATCCAACGGTTGATATTAAAGGCTAAAGTCATGAGTCTAATGTCAACGGCGTAATGACGCGATGATGAATTGGTAACGAAAAGTTCTAGATAAAGAAGACACGCGTGTTATGTGTGCACAAATATGAGTTTATCCGTTTTTTTCTCGTCCTTGCAGATATAAAAAAAGTAAAGTTTGTTTTTGTCGGTACGAATATAAGTTTATTTTTATGCTATAATTAATTTGTAGACTATTCCGAGCTTAGACGGCAAAATTGAATGGAAACTTTATATATAAAAATATTATTTATAAAATTATATTTATGTGCTGTTAATAAAAAAAAGGAACTTTATTTATGTTTGGAAAACAATGCTAATTATATTTTTTTATTTTATTTTCCTATTCTTTTACGTCTTTTCATATCAAATTCTGTCATTAACTTGGAAAGATAATGTTTTAATGACTTCAGTAAAATCATAAAAGGTAAATAACTGAAAAAATCTAAACTATTGATAGAGTTTTCTATAATTTTGTTGATTAGTTTTCTATAATTTTGTAAAGTTTTCCAACAATAATCTCTCTATTTTGATGATACTTTCCATAATTTTATTTTGTGAAGAAAAATGTATAAAAACATAAACCAATAACATAATAATTTAATTCATTAATAATTAGAGATTTTTTTGTTTTAGTTATTTTTTGTCAAAAAAGGTTTATTTGAATAACACATAACTTTCTTGACTTTATAAAATCTGAATCTAATAACCCCAGATTTATGAAAATTTTAAAAGAAATTTTACAAATCAAATACTACACCAAACTTTAACATAATTTAATAAAATCTTGATTGAATAACAAAAGATTTTACATAACATTTAAAATTATTAAAATACCATTTAAATAAAAAACCAATAACACCTCCTAAGAAATTATGTGCATCAAAAAGATTTGTTAAATCTTCATACTTTATGTAAATGGTAAAATTGTTCATGTAAAATTTTGGGTTTTTTTCCGTTAGAAGACAATCGATAGAAGACAATCGTAAGTCTAGTGATGAGATATTAGTTGTATTATTTTTTTGACGTCTTAAGTTATGAGGATTTGAAAAGAATTTTAAGAAATCTTGTTGTTCCTTAAATTTATGTTTTTTTTTTGTTTCTTAGCACAAAAGTGTAAGTTAATCCCAAATTCGGTTGGTTTAAGTGTAAATCGACACCGAATAGAACCAAATTTCAATATAACCATTTGGTTTACTTTGCATATTGGAGTTTTTTATTCTTTGGACTTAAGAGGCCCATTTTAACAAATCGTAGGTCCATTAGGTGTCACAAATCGAAATGTGTTAAAAACTTCTCAGATTTGAGTTTGTAGGGCTGATACAATTGTCGATGTCGGTAGATAAATCGTGTTGAAGAAGAAACCACCGCTTAAAAACAAGGGATGTTTCGTTTCGAGAAGCGATTCGTTCTCGAAAATGTCGTTACCGGAATCGACTCCAAATCCTTCACTTCCAGATGATTTATTAATTACTTGCTTATCACGCGTCTCAAAATTGTACTACCCAATTCTTTCCTTAGTCTCCAAGAGCTTTCGATCTCTCCTTGCTTCACCGCAGCTTTACGAGGCTCGATCTCTCTTAGGCCGCATCGAGAGTTGCCTATATGTGTGTTTACGCTTTGACGATAACCCTCGTTGGTTCACTCTCTACCGGAAACCTGACCGAACCCTAACTAAGTCAAGTGGCAATATTTTGGTCCCAATCACAACTCCACAATCTCATCCTGCCTACTTGTCAGGTAAGGTCGTTGGTTACAATATCTACAACATTGGCCGATCCTTAAAGTCTTTGGCCTCATCTAGCGTCTCATTACTAGATTGTCGGTCTCACACGTGGCGTGAGGCTCCAAGCTTGCAGGTTAAGATGAAGTACCCTTGTGCTAGTGTCTTTGATGGAAAGATTTATGTAGTAGAAGGTTTCGTAGAAAACGTATCAGAGTTTTCGAAATCGATGGAGGTGTTCGACACCAAAACCCAAATTTGGGATCATGTCCCCATCCCTTACCAGGACGGTGACGAATACTCGGGTTGGCTAACCAAAAATATATGTATTGAAGGGAAGGTGTATCTGACAATTGGGAGAAAGGTTCTGGCTTACGATCCAAAGGAAGGTAGATGGGACTTGGTGGAACAAGAGATGGGTGATGGTTGGCGATGGTATTGTAATTGTGCGGTAGAGAATGTTTTGTACTGTTATAATGAGAGAGCATTAATATGGTATGACAATAAGGTGAGATTGTGGAAAAAAATTAAGGGTTTGGGAGGACTGCCTGAGTTTGCTAGTTCAAGTCGTGTTAAACTGGCCGATTATGGTGGAAAGATGGCTGTTTTGTGGGACAAGTATGAGCTTGACAGTGAAGACAAGATGATTTGGTGTGCCGTGATTGCCCTTGAAAGACACAATGTTGTAGAGATTTGGGGGAAGGTCGAGTGGTGTGACGCGGTGCTTACAGTTCCCCGATCAACAATTTTTGAGTATGCTCTTTCTGTTACTGTTTGATGAATGACATAACTAGAAAAACTTGAATGTGGGTTTTATATCATTTTGTTTATTTTGTTGCGGTGTTTATATTATACCTCTTGTGTGATGTGAAGCCAGAATCGCAAATCGACATAGTTAGTATACGAAATCTACAGTAGCAATGCATCACTTTTATTTCATACCAAAGATAAAAACAAAAAAATTATTTTGATACAAAGATTTAGAAATTTGGAGCTAAGAACATAAGCAGAAGCAACAAAATGATAAGAGACATGAGAAGCAAGTAAAGAGAAGAAGGAAGCAGAGAAGTCAACGGAGCGTTGACTGTGTTATGAGTTGGAAAAGGAGAACAAAGTCTCTAGGTGTTGCAGAGGGTTTGTTTTTCAGTCTTCATGAGCATAAATAAAAGATTGTGATGCTTTTAGTCTGGAATGTTGAATGTTGTATGATTTCTCCTGCGTGAGATCTAAGGGTAGTGAGCTAGAGAAGATGATGTGTTAGTCTCTGCTTTGTATGACATTCATCGTTAAGCAATAAGAGAATACATATTCAGTAGTTAACACAAAACCACCATGCTTCAACAGCTTCTCCTAAATCTCCTCTCTTTCGGCACCGACTATATGATCCTGGATTTCGCCTTCTTTTATGAAAACAAAAGTGGGCATTGCGTCAACTGTGAATTCTTGAGCAGCAGATAGCAATTCATCTAGCTACATAACATCGATCTTGAAGAAGACAACATTGGTGAACTTCTTAGCCATACTTGAAAACACTGGCCCAATTAAACGGCAAGGGGGGCATCATGTCGCAGTGAAGTCTATCAGTCTATCACAATCTGTGTTCAGTCAAAATTTTAGAACAAATCAGAATTTTGAAGAACATCATCAAGAAAACTCAAAGACAAGAGAAGAGAAAAGTACCAGTTTCTTGGATTCGTTGGCGGATTTGACCTTATTGTTCTAGACTTCGAGGGTGTGTCAAGGAATCACTTCTCCGGCCATTGTTAACAGTTTTTGGTGTATGAAGAATTAATTACGGTGGAATTGGTTTTTTTTAGAAAACGCAGCTTTTTGCTTTTTTCTTCCTATTTTTTTTTATAAAAATTTTCTTTTTGAATCTATACTAGTATAATCGCAGCACTTTTTGTAACGGGTGGGTAAAAAAGCTTTCGGGTATATCGGATATCCGACCCGTTTTTAAAATTCCTTCACAAAAAATTTGTTGGGTCGGGTTATATTTAACCCAACTCATACACCGGGTATTCCATATTTAATAATTTAGATATTTAGAAGATTTGATTAAGATTTATAATTATGATTCTCCTATCATCTTTGTTTGATTTGTTTTTATCTGTTTTGAATCATCATATAATACATAAAGTAAAAAAAAAAAAAAAAAAAATTCTACATATACTGTGATTCGAAATTTAAAAAACGGACATATATTATCTAATTGACGAAAATGTGTGTTCAACGTTCTACATCGATTAAAATATTTAGACAATGATTATGATTCAGAATCCTATCATAAATAAGAACATTAATAAAATAAATGAGTTTTTTTGCCGGACGGGTTTGGCGGGACGGGTTTTTGAATCAACAATAATAAAAAGATTAAAATATCATTAATCCGCCGCTTCAATACGGATTAATTTTCTTTTTTAATACCACAAATATTAGACATATTAAATCAGTCTCATTTAGAAAAGATTGTATAAAACCTAAAATTGTCCCGTGGTATAATGTCCCGTGGTCTGAGAGGATGATATGATTTGTAAACTTTTATATATAATAAATAATCATTAAATTTTAAAATAAAAACAAATCACGGGACGGGTTAAGAAATTACGGAACATGTTATATTTCGGAAAGGATTTATATGGCGGACGAATTTGAATCAATATTTATATACCGCTTTAATACGGGTTAAATCCTCCGTTTATTAATAATTGTCTCGTGGACTCGTGGTATACCGTTACTTAATAACAATTATAAACTATAATATAAATAAATATGTTATAAGGAGATACAATTTACAAAATATTTTTTTTACTAACTTTAAAATTAAATCATCTCGCGGTATACCGCGGGTTAAAATCTAGTTATTAATTATACTTTTAAAAAAAAGTGTTCATAAGTATGATATAAAAGGAATAATATTTTTTTTTCTTTAAAAACAAATTCTGTAATTTATCATGAGGTTGTGAAAGGATTCCACCACTGATATTAAATGACTAAAAGATATGTATGTACAAATGAGTTTATACATTTTTATCGTCTTCACATTTGGCATATCACAAAATAACTTTTTTTACTGTCG